CTCGGAGGTAACCAGGTCCGATGCCATGGAGCGTTTTAAAGGTGGTAACTAACACCTTAAAACGCACTCGGAAGATCACTGGTAACCAGTGCAGCTCGCGCAGGAGCGGTGTTACATGGGAGCGACGAGTCCCTCCCAACACCGCCCGCGCGGCCGCATTCTGGACCAGTTGAAGTCTCCGGGTGCTCCTCAAAGGGAGTCCCATGTAGAGGGCATTGCAGTAGTCCAGGCGGGAGGTGACGAGAGCTTGAGTGACCGTGCGCAGAGCGTCCCGGTCCAGAAAAGGACGCAACTGGTGGATCAGGCGAACCTGATAAAACGCCCCCCTGGTCCTTGATACTCTCTTGAGGTTAGTTATGTCCTGCAGACATTTCATGACCCAGCTACATGTAATTATGAATGCTAGAAGAGAATGAGGATTTGTGGAGGAGGAGGAGGAGGAGGAGGAGGAGGACGATGACAACGACGACAACGACAACGACAACGACAACGACAAAGGAAGGCAAAGGAGGATGAAGGAGGAGGAGGAGGACTCTAAGGTCCTTGGTGCTCTCCATGCTTGGCTGCTTTTTGTAGACATTTCATTACCCAAACAGGGAACATGATCAGAGCTGTATCAGTGCTGTAATAGTACTACTTCCCCCCTCCCTTCCAGCACTGATGATGTTACCTAGTTGGGTCACCAAAGGGGCTAAACAATGCCCCCATTTCTGCTAGTCAAACCAGTTCACGGGGGTCCAGCTCTTTGTTACTTACCCCCTGGTTGTTACACTTGGAAACATCGCAATCGTAATTCAAAACTTTCATCTCCTCACACGCTCGGTTTATGCATATCTGGAAACAGAAAAGCGTCAGAAGGGATTGAGCGAGAGATCCATCGATGGGTTACACCAGGGGTAGGCAACCTTGGCTCTTTTATGACTGGTGGACTTCAACTCCCAGAATTCCTCAGCCGGCCAAACTGGGCCCCTTTAAGACTGGTGGACTGGGAGTTGAAGTCCACCAGTCTTAAAGGGGGCCAAGGTCGGAGGCCCCTGGCACAGAACACGGAGGGACACTGGAGTGCCAGCCATTCTCTCCTCTCCTGGCAAAGCCGACTCCGTTCCGGGCTCGCTGTCCACGTCGTGTCCCTCCGCCCTCTCCCCACCCGGACCCTCCCTCATCTGACCTTGCGGGGACCACAGGAAGAGCCCTCTTTCGTTGCTCCGGCATCGTTCCCATCGTCCTGCTGGGCAGAGATGATACTCCAGCACAGCACTTCTTCGACGGGCGTCTGGAGGATGGAGAAGCCCGGGGGAATTCTGGGAATTTTATGGACGTTAGTGCACTGGAGCCTTCCACAAGACACATCTCTGAGAAGAAAGACAAGCAGGCAGGGAGAAGAGATCCTTGAAGACCCCCCCATGGGCTTCTGGTGGCTTTTGGAGGGAGCAAAACCCTGTCTGGGTCGGGAGCTGATCTTCAGGTTGGGAAAAAAGGAACTAGACTTCCTTCTGCACCTAGATCAGTGGTTCTCAACCTTTTTAATGCCGCGACCCCAACCGGTCGTAAGTCGAGGACTAAACCGGTTGTAAGTCGAGGACTAAACCGGTCGTAAGTCGAGGACTACCCAACCGGTCGTAAGTCGAGGACTTTCTCTGCCCGGGAGTGCCGTGCATGCGTGGTTCCGCCCCCTGCGCCGGCCGAGGCGTAGCTGGCAAGCGGCAGAGACAGAGCAGGCCGACCACCAGCTGGCCCAGCCCAAGGGAGGTAAGGCACCCGCCGGAAAAGGGGGACAAAATGGCGGACAAAAAAAATGGCGGACAAAAAAAATGGCAGACAGCCTTGCTTGGTGACCCCCGTGAAATGGTCGATCGACCCCAAATGGGGTCCCGACCCACAGGTTGAGAACCACTGACCTAGATGGAGCCTAAAAGGAAAGTTCTCCCATCTCTAGCCGGAAATACGGAGGAGGAACGAACTTAGCAGCTGGAGAACCTAAATCGGTACTTTTCAACCTTGGCAACTTTAAGATGGGTGGACTTCAACTCCCAGAATTCCCCAGCCAGGACATGTGGCCTTCAACTCCCAGAATTCCCCAGGCACCATGAGTGGACTTCAGCTCCCAGAATTCCCCAGCCAGGACATGTGGCCTTCAACTCCCAGAATTTCCCAGCCAGCATGGGTGGACTTCAGCTCCCAGAATTCCCCAGCCAGGACATGTGGCCTTCAACTCCCAGAATTCCCCAGGCACCATGAGTGGACTTCAGCTCCCAGGATTCCCCAGCCAGCATGGGTGGCCTTCAACTCCCAGAATTCCCCTGGCACCATGAGTGGACTTCAAAAACTCCCCAGGGAGCCTGGGTGGACGTCAGCTCCCAGAATTCCCCAGCCAGCATGCAACCGTTCGTCTTAAAAACAGAATACTGGAAGGGACCTTGGAGGTCATCTAGTCCAACCCCCTGCTCGAGCAGGAGACCCTACACCATTTTAGACAAGTGGCTAGTGATGGAGAAGGAAGGAAGGAAGGATAACAGAATAACAGAGTTGAAAGGGATCTTGGAGGTCTTCTAGTCCAGCCCCCTGCTCAAGTAAGAGACCCTCTACCATTCCAGACAAGTGGCTGTCCAGTCTCTTCTTAAAAGCCTCCAGTGATGGAGAAGGTAGGTAGGTAGGTAGGTAGGTAGGTAGGTAGGTAGGAAGGAAGGAAGGAAGGAAGGAAGGAAGGAAGGAAAGAAAGAAGGAAGGAAGGAAACCAGAATAACAGAATAACAGAGTTGGAAGGGAGCTTGGAGGTCATCTAGTTCAACCCCCCTGCTCAGGCAGGAGACCCTATACCATTCCAGACAAATGGCTGCCCAGCCTCTCCTTGAAAACCTCCAGTGTTGCAGCATCCACAACTTCTGGAGGCAGGTAGTTCCACTGGTTAATTCTTCTAACCATCAAACCCTCTTTCGCCCTTCTGATGTGCCTTCCATGCAAGCAAGGAGCTTGCTAGTTGGGGCTGCTTTCTCCTTCCCGTAGGAGTCAACAAAGGCACTTACTTTTCTCGGCATTTCCTGTAGCCGGATCTATCCTGGCCGCAGTTTCCGGTCCGGTCGCCTTGTAAATTCACCTCCTTGTAGCAACTGAACGGAGCAGGTTTTGCAGCTAAAGATTTGGAGGTTGGGGAGGGGGTAGAAGAAGGGGGGGGAGTAAAAAGTCAAGAGCAAGATGGAGCTGGACCCCCCCCCCCCATTGAGGCAGAGGTTCACTGAAGGCTTATTAATGATTAGATCACCTTTATTGTCATTTTATTCCTGTGGGCACAACGGCACACCTTAAAAATGAAATTTAGCTGCTTGCTCTCCAAGGGCACACGTACATCACACACATTTAAAACATACTATATACAACATATGCATAGACCTACACCCTTACGTGTAAGTAACATATTCTTATGCGTTTGTAAGGTTTATACAGATGATACTGATTTATCTGTAAGCATTTACATCTATAATATATCCATAATTTAACTCTACAGTGTCTACAAATGTGTAGATTTAATATAGATTTATATATAGAAATATATTTATATTTCTGGCTCAGAAACCAGGAGAAGGGGAGTTCTAGCCCCGCCTTAGGCATGAAAGCCAGCTGGTTGACTCAGGGCCAATCATCAGGAGACGGTGAGTTCTAGTCCCGCCTTAGGCATAAAAGCCGGCTGGGTGACTTTGGACCAATCACCAGGAGACGGTGAGTTCTAGTCCCACCTTAGGCAGAAAAGCCGGCTGGGTGACTTTGGGCCAATCACCAGGAGGCGGTGAGTTCTAGTCCCGCCTTAGGCATGAAAGCCAGCTGGGTGACTTTGGGCCAATCACCAGGAGGCGGTGAGTTCTAGTCCCGCCTTAGGCATAAAAGCCGGCTGGGTGACTTTGGACCAATCACCAGGAGACGGTGAGTTCTAGTCCCACCTTAGGTAGAAAAGCCAGCTGGGTGACTTGGGCCAATCACCAGGAGACGGTGAGTTCTAATCCCACCTTAGGTAGAAAAGCCAGCTGGGTGACTTTGGGCCAATCACCAGGAGACAGGGAGTTCTAGTCCCGCCTTAGGCATGAAAGCCAGCTGGGTGACTTTGGGCCAATCACCAGGAGGCGGTGAGTTCTAGTCCCGCCTTAGGCATGAAAGCCAGCTGGGTGACTTGGGCCAATCGCCAGGAGACGGTGAGTTCTAGTCCCGCCTTAGGCATGAAAGCCAGCTGGGCAAACCTGGAGGATGAAAACAAGCCTTGAATGCTTGGGATGGGCTGGCACCGCCCCATCCAAATGCCAGCCGGACCAAACCCTGCTTAGCTACCTTGAGGGCCTGGAACCACTACCACCCCCCTCTGCCATCCCCATCAGCTGCATCTCCATTTTGCTCCGCATGCCTTTGCCGAAGAACGTCTGGCAGTGCCGGCGGATGTCCAAGCAGACGCCCGAATAGCAGGTGCTGTCGAGGCCGCAGGGCATCCCGTTTTGCTTGAAGACATCTGGGGGGCAGGTTTCCGAGGTCCCCGAACAGTATTCATCCAGATCACAATCAGAGAGGGCTTCCCGGCACACCGTCCCTTCTGTTAGCAACTATGGCGAAGAGAGAGAGAGAGAGAGACGGAGCTCAAACGTCGCTCCTGCCAGGCTGACGTGCAGCCCTGGGGCTCGTGGGAATCTGGAGGGCATCCGCTCTGTGCCCAAAAACGGAAAGATGCCTCCATTCCCATAATGGAGGAAGGGCTGCAAAAGCTGCCGGAGTTAGCATATAGTAATAATAATAATAATAATAATAATAATAATAATAGTAATAGTAATAATAATAGTAATAATAATAGTAATAATAATAATAATAGTAGTAGTAGTAGTAATAATAATAGTAATCATCATCATCATCATCATCATCTCATCATCATCATCATCATCATCATCATCCCAAAACAACTGGAGCACCACTTGGACACCATCCTCGGCATTGACAAATTCGCCATCAGTCAATTGCAAAAGGCGGCCTTACTAGGAACCGCTTCCATCCTGCGATGAGATCTGTGATACCGTCAAACATCCACATCTGCCTATCCCAGGTCCTTGGAAAAAAATGCCAAATCCAGTCTGAACATCTGGCTGACTGTGTGATTAATAATAATAATAATAATAATAATAATAATAATTAATAATAATAATTAATAATAATTAATAATAATAATAATAATAATAATAATAATAATAATAATAATAATAATAATAATAATAATAATAATAATAATAATAATAATATAATGATAATGATGTTGGAAGGGATCTTGGAGGTCATCTAGTCCAACCCCCTGCTCAGGCAGGAAACCCTATACCATTTCAGACAAATGGCTGTCCAGTCTCCTCTTAAAAACTTCCAGTGTTGGAGCATTCACCGCTTCTGGAGGCAGGTGGTTCCACTGGTTAATTGTTCTCACTGTCACGAAATCCCTCCTTAGTTCCAGGTTGCTTCTCTCCTTGATGAGTTTCCATCCGTTGCTTCTTGTTCTGCCTTCAGGTGCTTTGGAGAATAGCTTGACTGCCTCTTCTTTGGGGCAGCCCCTGAGATACTGGAAGACTGCTATCCTGTGCCCCCTCGTCCTTCTCTTCATTAAACTAGACATACCCAATTCCAGCAACCGTTCCTTATATGCTTTAGCCTCCAGTCCCCTAATCATCTTTGTTGCTCTTCTCTGCACTCTTTCTAGAGTCTCAGCATCTTTTTTACATCGTGGTGACCAAAACTGGATGCAGCATTCCAAATGTGGCCTTACCAAGGCCTTGTAAATTGGTATTAACACTTCATGTGATCTTGATTCTATCCCTCTGTTAATGGGATAAAAACCCACCACTCCCAGCTCCATGGGGTCAGCTGCCCCATAGCCACCTTTCTGTCTGGCTCTGCTCTTCAATAAACGACCACCTTCTTTCTAAAGCAGTCTGCGTTTTGTTTCTTCCCGGCTTGGACTGGACCCCGACGAAGATTTTTCTTTCAACAACGTGAATAAGTTGTAAGTTGAGGACTACCAGAAAATATGAGCTTGTCACACAAAGGCCACAACGGGCTACTTGGGCTGGGCATCGTGATCCAAGGGCAGTCATCACCATCACGGCGTGACGTTGTGGCTGGCCACTTGCCATTTTATCCTGGTTTGTTGCAGACTCGGAGGCATATAAGTCGACGGCGATGGAAAGCAGCAAAGGATCAAAGGGGCCGTTTGTCCCCTGGAGGTGGGCTTGGTCCCAGGGAGACCCTCCCGGCCCCAAATAGCCCCCAAAGAGGGCAGAACCAAGACCTTACCTTGCACTCTTGACAACAGGATCCCTGAAGACAGGTGGCGCCGGGTTTCATTTGGCAATCCTCTTGACAGCAGTCGTTGATTATGCATGTCTGCTAGGAAGATGGAGGAGGGGGCAATTGATCACGCTTGGGGGTTTGGACCAGCCACCAGGCCCAGCTGCAGGACCCCCACCGAACGCTCCCCAGTCCCCAAACTGGCCAAAAGTCAGAAAGGAAATCAGAGAGATCCCCGTCTCCTTCCTGTGTAGGACCGATGAAATCTTGGCCCACCTTCTCCAAAGCTGGAAGCCTCCAGAGATGTTGGGCACCAGAGGCCAGGTGTCCCCAGTGGGTTCTTGGTTGTGCTGGGGGTGAATTTGGGTACTTGTGGACCAGCACGTCTGGAGGAGACCAGGATGGAGAGCAGGATTTGATTTTTGACCTGATCTTTCACAGATCTCTCACAGATGGATGCAAAAGAAGCTGGTTGGTGGTCTGTCAGAGATCTCTAGGATGGTGTTCCACAACCTTGACAAGTTCAAGATGCGTGGACCTCAACACCCTGAATTCAACTTCAAGATGTGTGGACTTCAACTCCCAGAATTCAACTTCAAGATGTGTGGACTTCAACTCCCAGAATTCAACTTTAAGATGCGTGGACTTCAACTCCCAGAATTCTCATCTCCCAGAATTCAACCTTAAGATGTGTGGACTTCCACTCCCAGAATTAAACTTTAAGATCTGTGGACTGGCTGAGGAATTCTGGGAGTGGAGGTCCACACATCTTAAGGTTGCCAAGGATGGGAAACCTTGGCTTATAGGATAACAGAACTTGGAAGGGACCTTGGAGGTCTTCTAGTCCAACCCCCTGCTCAGGCAAGAAACCCTATATCAGGGGGCTGGATGCGTCATGGCAAAACCATGCCCACCCCATTGCTGGCAGTGGGAAAAAAGTCACGATATGTTACGTGAGGTTGCAAGTTTGACACCCCTGCCCTATACCATTCCAGACAAAAAATGGCTGTCCAGTCTCCTCTTAAAAACTTCCAGTGTTGGAACATTCACAGCCTCTGGAGGCAGGTTGTTCCACTGGTTAATTGTTCTAAATGTCAGGAAATTTCTCCTTAGTTCTAGGTTGCTTCTCTCCTTGACTAGTTTCCATCCGTTGCTTCTTGTCCTGCCTTCAGGCGCTTTGGAGAAGAGCTTGACTCCCTCTTCTTTGGGGCAGCCCCTGAGATACTGGAAGACTGCTATCATGTCCCCCCTTGTCCTTCTCTTCATTAAACTGGACATACCCAATTTCAGCAACCGTTCCTTATGTATGTTTTAGTCTGCAGTCCCCTAATCATCTTTGTTGCTCTTCTCTGTACTCTTTCTAGAGTCTCAGAATCTTTTTTACATCAAGGTGACCAAAACTGGATGCAGTATTCCAAGTGTGGCCTTACCAAGGCCTTGTAAAGTGGTATTAACACTTCACGTGATCTTGATTCTATCCCTCTGTTAATGCAGCCTAGCACTGTGTTGGCCTTTTTGGCAGCTGCAGCACACGGCTGGCTCCTATTTAAGGGATTGTCCACTAGGACTCCGAGGTCCCTCTCACAGTTACTACTATTGAGCAAGGGGCCACCTATACCAGGGGTAGGCAACCTTGGCTCTTTTATGACTCGTGGACTTCAACTCCCAGAATTCCTCAGCCAGCATGGGGAAAACTGACCCCTTCATGACTCGTGGACTTCATCTCCCAGAATTCCTGAGCCAGCATGGGGGAACTATGGCCCCTTCATGACTCGTGGACTTCATCTCCCAGAATTCCTGAGCCAGCCTGGCTCAGCTTGGAAACCTCTCCCTTTCCCCTCAGCATGGCTGGCTGAGGAATTCTGGGAGTTGAAGTCCAGAAGTCCTAAAAGGGGCCAAGTTTGAAGACCCCTGATCTATACTCTACCTGTGCATTTGGTTTTTCTTGCCTAAATGTAGAAGCTGCCTTTTTCCACCCTTGAATTCCATTTTGTTAGATAGCGCCCACATGAAGCGCGTTGTCCTGAAGGCAGAGGCACTCACCTCGTCCGTGCCGCAGTCGCACTGCTCTCCGTCCTCCACAACGCCGTTGCCGCACGTCTTTTTCGGGGTGACGTCTTTGGGCCAGTTGAGGAAGCAGTTCCTGCCTGGGCCCTGCAGGAACGCGAAGTAGGTCTCTTTGCTGCAGTTGCTCAGCGCGTAGCGTTCTCTGCAACGAGAGAGAGGGCCCGTGACTTGCAGGCCGTCCTCATGTTACAACCGTTCGTTCAGCGACCGTGTGTGGTTACAACGGCGCCGAAAAAACGTGACTCGCACTTACGACCGTTGCGGTGTCCCCCCGGGATCACGCGATCAAAATTCGGAGGCTTTGTTTTTTGTAAATTTGTATTGATTTTCTAATATGACATTTAAATACTTGAAAGCAAACGTGGCGGCTGGGTATAATAATAATAATAATAATAATTAATAATAATTAACAATAAATAATAATAATAATAATAATAATAATAATAATAATAATAATATAAAAAAGTTGGAAGGGACCTTGGAGGTCATCTAGTCCAACCCCCTGCTCCATTACACATAGATATCATTAGTACAGATCTCAAACTGTTACAATCCCCATTCCCTCTCTTTCTCCCTTAATATCGACTGCCTCCTGTTTTAACTAATACAATTTAATTAATTAATTTTAATTATTTAATTAATTTAATTTAATTAATGATAAAGTTGGAAGGGACAATTGGAGATCATCTAGTCCGACCCCCTGCTCTTGTACATCTTGTTCTGTCAATCAAATAAAAGGTAACTTTCTAACCCTTTATCCATAATTTTAAGTCAACATATATCTTAATTGTTTTAACTTTCAGTCCTTAGACAATCGATGACCGAATCAGTTTTTCTCAATTTTAATTTCCCATTAGTATTTAAATTTAACGTTTAATAATGATCATTGCCACACTTCAAATGAGCCCCAATTCCTTTATCACCGTACCTCCCAAAGTCTAATATTCAGGATACACATCTTATCTATGCAGGTTCTCACCATCTACATCAACAAATTAATAATAATAATAATAATAATAATAATAACAACAACAACAGCAACAGCAACAGCAATAATAATAATAATAATAATAAAGTTGGAAGGGAGATTGGAGGTCATCTAGTCCAACTCTCTGCTCAGGCAGGAAACCCTATACCATTTCGGACAAATGGCTGTCCAGTCTCTTCTTAAAAACTTCCAGTGTTGGAGCATTCACAGCTTCTGGAGGCAGGTGGTTCCACGTGTTAATTGTTCTGATAACTTTCAGGTACTTTAAAATCTTAAATTTATTAACCAAAAATTTCTCTTATTTCCACATTTAATACTTCCTCTCTCTTCCTCTTTATATCTACTATCTCATATTTAGAACTAATAAAAAAAATTTCTCCTTGCTGCTAGACTTGGCAACTGACATGTACTTAGGACGGTTGCAGTGTCCAGGGGTCACTTGATTCCCTTTTGCGAACTTCTGGTGAGCAACGTCAATAGGGGAAACCGGATCCACTTAACGACCGTGTTACAGAGAGTCCCTTATAACCGTTCGTTTAACGACCGTTCAAAGTTACGACCGCACTGAAAAACGGGGACTTAAGGCCATTTTTCACATTTATGACCCTCGAAGTGTCCCCGGGGTCACGTGATCAAAATTCGGGCGCTTGGCAACTGACTCATAGTTACGACGGTCGCATCGTCCCAGGGTGTGTGTGTCACGTGCTCCCCTTTTGCGACCTTCTGACGAGCAAAGTCAACGGGGGAAGCCGGATTCGCTTAACGACCGTGCTATTAACTTAATATCTGCAAGGAGAAACTTCCTGACAGTTAGAACAATTAACCAGTGGAACCACCTGCCTCCAGAAGCTCTGAATGCTCCAACACTGGAGGTTTTTAAGAAGAGACTGGACAGCCATTTGTCCGAAATGGTATAGGGTTTCCTGCCTGAGCAGGGGGTTGGACTAGATGACCTCCAAGGTCCCTTCCAACTTTATTATTATTATTGTTATTGTTATTGTTATTGTTATTGTTATTGTTATTGTTATTGTTACTGTTATTGTTATTGTTGTTATGAAATGGTATAGGGTCTCCTGCCTGAGCCAGGGGTTGGACTAGATGACCTCTAAGGTCCCTTCCAACTTTATTTTTATTATTATTATTGTTATTGTTATTGTTATTGTTATTGTTATTGTTGTTATGAAATGGTATAGGGTCTCCTGCCTGAGCCGGGGGTTGGACTAGATGACCTCTAAGGTCCCTTCCAACTTTATTATTATTATTATTATTATTATTATTATTATTATTATTATTATTATTATTATTGTTGTTGTTGTTGTTGTTGTTGTTATTGTTATTGTTATTGTTATTGTTATTATTAAGTCATTCACTTAAAAACGCTGGCGAGCAAGGTCGTAAAATGGGGCGAAACTCATTCCACAAACGTCTCATTTAGCAAAAAATCTGGGGCTCGGTTGTAGCCGTAAGCTGAAGACTACCTGTAGTAACTTAACAACTTGCAGTGATTCCCTTAACGACCGTGGCAACGAAGGTCGCAAAACGGGGCGAAACTCACTTAACCCCAGTCTTAGTTGGCGTGGGAAAATTTGGGGGGGGCTACTCACGCCGTGGCCGCATGCATGAGGCAGTGGCCGGCTTGGGTGGTGGAGTTGCATCCACAGGGCCGTCCGTCCGCCCGTGGCAGGTCATCGTGGGCGAAGCCGAGGGCGTGGCCCAGCTGGTGCGCAGCGGAGACCCCGACGTCCGTGGCAGACGGAGAAATCTGGGCCCGGCAGGGCAGGGAAAGGGAGGGAAGAGGAGGCGGTGAAGCAGACCCAAGTGGAATCCCAGAATGGCAGGATCCTAGGACTGGGAGGTACCCTGGAGGTCATCTAGTCCAACCCCCTGCTCAAGACAGGAGAGCTTATGCCATCCTGGTCAAAGGGTTCTCCGATCTTTTCTTGACAACCTCCAACGATGGAGCAGCCACGACTCCAGGAGGGTTCCCTTTTTTGCACAGCTATTCACCTCTACCATCTTTCTCTCTTTCTCTCTCTTTCTTTCTCTCTTATTTCTTCCCCTCTCTCTTTTTCTCTCCCCTTCTCTCTCTTTCTCTCTATCTATTTCTCTCTTCCCCCTCTTTCTTTCTGTCTCCTCCACTCTCTTTCTCTCTCTTTATCTATTTCTCTCTCCCCTGTCTCCTTCTCTCTCTCCCTTTCTTTCTTCTCTCTTTCTCCCTCTCTCTCTGTCCCTGTCTTTTTCTCTCTCCCTTTATCTATTTCTCTCTCCCCCTCTCTTTCTCCCAACTGTCTCTCCTTATCTCTCTCTCTTTATCTATTTCTCTCTCCCCCTCTCTCCTCTCTCTCTCCCTTTCTCTCTCCCTCTCTCCCTTTATCTATTTCTCTCTCCCCCTCTCTCCCCCTCTCTTTCTCTTTCTTTCTCTTTCCTCTCTGTCTCTGTCTCTCTTTCTCTCTCCCTTTATCTATTTCTCTCTCCCCCTCTCTCCCCCTCTCTCTTTCTCTTTCTTTCTCTTTCCCTCTCTGTCTCTCTGTCTCTTTCTCTCTCTCCCTTTCTCTATTTCTCTCTCCCCCTCTCTCCTTCTCTCTCTCTCTCTCTCTCTCTCTCTCTCTTCTTTTTTTTTTCCCTATCTCTCGCTGGGGAATTCTGGGAGTTGAAGTCCACAAAGCTTACAGTGGCCATATTTGGAGAGCCTTGATCTATATAGCAAGGTGCCAGGGATCTGCCTGGCCCAGTCTGAGCCCCCCACCCACCCTTCGCCTCGCGCGCCCCTTTCCTTACTTTGGCCACAGAAACCGAGACCTGGTTCTGAAGACACTCGGGCAACTTCCACGTCTTTGCGAACGTGTCGTCTTGAGCCACATTCCTGCAAGGCAGAAAACACCCAGTTCGACTCAGACGTTCCAACGTTTTGGCTGTTTTTAAGTTTTCCACTGGCTTTTATCGTCTTAACCTGATTTTAAATATCCGAATTGAAATGCAGGCAGTCCTCGACTTACGACAGTTCATTTCAACCCGCTGGGAAAAGGGACTTACGACCCTTTTTCACACTTAGGACAGCTGCAGCATCCTCCGTGGGGGTCACATGACGCTTGGCAACTGGCTCGTATTTATGACGGTCAGAGTGTCAAGGATTCCCTGAATGTACGAGCCGGACAACGGGGAGTATTGTGACCCCAATTGCTGGGGTCCTCCAAGGAAGAGGAGGACCCCAAGATTTATGTCTCTCCCGCAGCAAACTCCGCATTCTCACGTGAATAAGGTGGCGTGGTCGAAGTGGGTCTGGCGCTGAAGCTCAGAATTGGCATAGTGCTGAAACACTTGCACCCTTTCCCCAAACTGTTTGCTGAGGGGCAGGTGGTCCTTTTCTGTCCACACCTCCATGCCCGTCAGGACTACGTGGAGTCCGATGTCACTGTACACCTGCAAGGGGAAAGGTAGGAGTGGCCATCCTCTTACCTGCAAGGTGAGTCACACTGGAGATGGATGCCTTACAGCAGGCGTGGGGAACAAGGGCCCTTGGATGACCTGCGGACTTCAACTCCCAGAATTCCTGAGCCAGCTGTGATATGGATGGATGGATAGATGGATAGATAATAGATAGAGATAAATATGGTATAATAGATGATAGACATGATAGATATTTAGATGAGATATAGATAGATAGATAGATAGATAGATAGATAGATAGATAGATAGATGATAGATAGATAGATAGATAGATAGATAGTGATAAATATGGCATGATAGATGATAGACATAAGATAGATATTTAGATGAGATATAAATAGCTAGCTAGCTAGCTATAGATAGATAGATAGATGATTGATAGATAGATAGATAGATAGATAGATAGATAGATAGATAGATAGATAGATAGATGATAGATAGATAGATAAATATGGCATGATAGATGATAGACATAAGATAGATATTTAGATGAGAGATTAGGTAGATAGATAGATAGATAGATAGATAGATAGATAGATAGATAGATAGATAGATAGATAGATAGATAGATAGATAGATAGATAGATAGATAGATAGATAGATAGATATGGCATGATAGATGATAGACATAAGATAGATATTTAGATGAGAGATATAGATAGATAGATAGATAGATAGATAGATAGATAGATAGATAGATAGATAGATAGATAGATAGATAGATATGGCATGATAGATGATAGATAGATATTTAGATGAGAGATATAGATAGATAGATAGATAGATAGATAGATAGATAGATAGATAGATAGATAGATAGATAGATAGATAGATAGATAGATAGATATGGGATGATAGATGATAGACATAAGATAGATATTTAGATGAGAGATATAGCTAGCTAGCTAGCTACATATAGATATAGATGAGATAGAGATAGATAGATAGAGAGAGAGAGAGAGAGAGAGAGATGGATAGAGATAAATATGGCATGATAGATGATAGATATTAGATATTTAGATGAGAGATATAGCTAGCTAGCTAGATATAGATGATAGATAGATAGAGATGGATATACGTATCTAGAGAGTTAAATATGGCATGATAGATATTAGACTATGATAGATATTTAGATGACAGATGATAGATAATATAGATGATATATAATAGATATATAGATATAGATATATAGATATATGGATATGGATGGAGGGAGGGATGGATGCCCCTGGAGTTCTGGGTGCTCAGTTGTTGGAGGTCTTCAAGAAAATATCAGACAGCCATTTGCCCAGGATGGCATAGTCTCATGCCTTGGGCAGGGGGCTGGACTAGAAGACCTCCAAGGTCCCTTCCCGCCCTCGGATTCTAGGATTTACTTACATGGTGAACCACCGAGAGAATCTGAAGCACCATCAGCATCTCTTGAGTGACATTCTGCTTGGCCCACTGGAACTGAGGACGGAGGAGAGAAGGGCCTTCGCAGGGGTGCTGTGTACACACCCACCCTGCCAGACTCCTTGCGTGGGTCTTTCGGGACCCCCGGGACAGCGGCTCTCTTCCAGACCGACCCCCCTTCTTCCTGGGGCTTCCCTCGTTCCCAGTCTCTGGTTCCAGATCTCCCCCCCCTCACCCGCCCATTCGGGGCCTTTCATTGGGAGGGGGATACTTAAAGAACAGGCAGTCCTCGACTTGCACTCATTTAGTGGCCATTTGAAGTTGCAACCGTTCGAAGCAAGGCGGTCGCTAAGCGAGTTCTGCCCCTTTTAATGACCTTCCTTGCCATCGTTCTTAAGCGAATCAATGCAGAGGTGGAGCGGCCCAGACGGTTGTTAAGCGAATCTGGCTTCCCCCATTTTGACTTTGCTGGTCAGAAGAGGGTCACATGACACGCACACACCCCGGGCTAATGCAACCGTCGTAACTACGAGTCAGTTGCCAAGGATCCGAATTTCGATCACGTGGCCACGGGGACGCTGCAAAATAATGTGCAAAATAATGTGCAAAACGGGTCACCAGTCTCTTTTTTTGGCGCCTGTTGTAACTTCAAACGGTCACTAAACCAACGGGTTACAAATTGAGGACTACCTGCTTGTGGGGGCTTTTCGTTTTTACTTCTCGTGGAAAGTTGTCCAGGAGAACATTATTTTGGCCATGGACGAGAGATTTTGGGCCGTCATGGAGGACACTTTTTGTGCCCTTCTATTAAATGATTGATAATGGGGGAGCATATTAGTTGAACTAATAAATAAAAAATATAAATATTAGGGTGGGAAGGGAGCACCAATTAGTTCCCGGCAATCTGAAGGCGAAAACTTTTACGCCAAAAAGATGAAACGGGCATCACCGTGGCAAAGCAGCTACTCTGCCCCTTGTGTGCATGTTTCCTAATGTGGCACACACGGAGGAGAATTTGAACTGAACACAACTGCACATTGGGGCAAAACCTCTGGACTCTCCAGATGTGGGGTCTGAGTGTCCTGCTGGTTGCCGAGTCTGTGATAGTAGAAGTGAGAACTGATTGGAAGGGCTAAATGATAACCTCGGTCACATTGAGATGTGTGGATTTCAACTCCCAGAATTCAACTTCAAGATGGGTGGACTTCCACTCCCAGAATTCAACTTTAAGGTGGGTGGACTTCAACTCCCAGAATTCAACTTTAAGATGGGTGGACTTCAACTCCCAGAATTCAACTTCAAGATGGGTGGACTTCCACTCCCAGAATTCAACTTTAAGGTGGGTGGACTTCAACTCCCAGAATTCAACTTTAAGATGGGTGGACTTCCACTCCCAGAATTCAACTTTAAGGTGTATGGACTGGCTGAGGAATTCTGGGAGTTGAAGCCTGCCCATCTTAAAGTGGTGGCGTTTGAGAACCATTGGGCTACAGAGTAGTAGAGCAGAACAGGAGGAAGGAGCCAAAAGCCGGATCAATGTCCTGCAGCTGCTTCTGGAGAGGCTAACCGGGATCTAACCTGGTTAACCTATGGTGGTTGCTTACCACAGAATGGTCACAAACGGCAAAGTATTCCAGGTATCTCGATGGCGCGTTCTTCCCAGGGAAATGTGGCTGAAAGGAAAGTAGAGACCTCAGCGGTGGGAGGCAAAAGAAAGGTGACTTGGGGACAATCACCAGGAGACGGTGAGTTCTAGTCCTGCCTCAGGCCTGAAAGCAGCTGGGTGACTTTGGGCCAATCGCCAGGAGACGGTGAATTCTAGTCCTACCTCAGGCGTGAAAACTGGCTGGGTGACATTGGGCCAATCGCCAGGAGACAGTGAGTTCTAGTCCCGCCTCAGGCGTGAAAACTGACTGGGTGACTTTGGGCCAATCGCCAGGAGACGGTGAGTTCTAGTCCTGCCTCAGGCGTGAAAACTGACTGGGTGACATTGGGCCAATCGCCAGGAGACGGTGAATTCTAGTCCCGCCTCAGGCGTGAAAACTGACTGGGTGACATTGGGCCAATCTCCAGGAGACGGTGAGTTCTAGTCCTGCCTCAGGCCTGAAAGCAGCTGGGTGACTT